GGGGGACTATTGTAGAGAACTTTTATGCCGTATGTGCGTAGGACTCTGGATATGGATACTGCGGCAGGGGAGAACGGGAGCCAACATGTGGCCCTATGAATTGTAGTGGTTCTGTGGACACATGGATCAAAAGTATGTTTTTCTATAAAATCTATGGGATAACCAGCGGTTGTTAATAAGGAATGGATTCTAGTTCTTTCTATTGTTTTAAAAACGGGTAAGGAACAATGGGTAAAAATTCTTTTAGTTAAGGTCCTGACTGTATTAATTTTAAAGGAGATGGGACTATTGGAGGAGAAATGCGTATATTGGGGAGGGATGTGCTTCTTATGGAAAACAGAGGTGTGAAAAGACTGAGGGGTGCGAATAATAAGGATGTCTAGGAAAGGTAAAACAAAGTCTATTTCTGTTTCATATGTAAACTTAATGTGGGGGTTGAAATTGTGCAAGGTACTGTATGTGAGTTGAAGGCTGTCTGTTTTGATAATGCAAAAGATATCGTCTACATATCTCCTCCAATAGTATATATCGGAAGGGAGGGCTTGATTGATCCATGTGTCCAAAGAACCCATGACTATTTCAGAGATGATTGACGATAGGGGACTACCCATAGGGGTTCCTCTGGTCTGTTTATAAAACTGCTTGTTGAAGGTGAAAGTGCAAATCGAGAGGCAGAGAGAAGCCAGTTGCAGGATATGGGAAGCCGTTTGTGTGTCAATGTTATTGGTAATAAGGAACGATTGCAATTTGTCAGCAATGAGAGAGTGTGGAAGTGAGAGGTATAAGGACGTGACATCAAAAGACACCATACTGTGTAGGGGTGGAGGTTGTAAATCAAGGAGGTCTTCTATGAAACTGGGGGGATGCGTGATGCTATATATATTAACAACCGCTGGTTATCCCATAGATTTTATAGAAAAACATACTTTTGATCCATGTGTCCACAGAACCACTACAATTCATAGGGCCACATGTTGGCTCCCGTTCTCCCCTGCCGCAGTATCCATATCCAGAGTCCTACGCACATACGGCATAAAGGTTCTCTACAATAGTCCCCCCAACTTAGCCACCATCCTTAGACATCACATCACCAAATCTGATAAACCCACCCTACCCATAAACTCTACCGGCGCAGTTTATTCCGTACAGTGCCTGAATTGCCCAACTTCTTATGTTGGGGAAACAGGCAGAACCACTGGCATCCGTATTTTAGAACACAGACGCAACATACGCAATAAATATCCTAAATCCTTAATTTTTACACATATAGCACAAACAGGCCATAGTTTTGATCTCGACCATCCTCAAGTTAAATACCGGCACATACATAACAAACATCACCGACTCTGCCTAGAATCTATTATTTCCACACAAAACAATAGTTGTAACCGCAGAATAGACCTCCCAGACATTTACCAGATACTCTATAAATAGCTTGTCTTTCACCCCCCCCCTCTTATATCTCAAAGATAGTGGTAGCACTGGGTGGGACCCTCCCTTTCCCCTGCCTTGGTCTTGTTGATTTTAACTTCCATATACTGTTTTTATTCTATGTTCTGTTGGTGTAGGGATGTCGCCGTTTTAATAATAATTTTTTACCTTAGTTTTTAGTCTCATTCAAGTTTATTGCTTATTTTTTAGTCGTCACGTTTGTATTATGCAAATTTCATTTTAAATATTTATGTTGTATTCTCTTTTTACGCTATTATCTCTTCAGTATGTAAATTTATTGGTGTATATATTAGTTCTTCTCCTCTAATAGCATATTAGTACGTTTTTACTATCCACGCCCGTTGAAGAACGTTTTGTTCGAAAGCTTGCGGTAATAAAGAAATTTACACAAGAAGCTCCTCTTAATGTTTATTATTGTTTTAATGATCGTGATTTTAAGAGTTTAATTTCTACAATCTTAGCCTTAGTCCTTTTACAATGAGTCACCCGAATCCTGATCTGCGTTTTTATGTACACCAATTGGGAAAGAAATCCCTACAACTGTCTAAATGGAGGCTTCATCTTACCTTTAACCTGCATTGCAAGAAAGTCGGTTTCATCCCGCCGTCCTTTAGAATAAAAGATCCTGTCAAGAATCCATTCTCCTCAAAGCTCACCGGGAAGTTTCATTTGGACTTACTCGAGGCCAGAATACAAGGTTCTCATTCCAATATTAGATTCCTCTCCGGATCTATTAAAGGCCTCATCTTTCTTCTCCACCAGTTAATGTCTGCGGACGACATCGCTAACCTAGTAAGTTCCATCACCCTTAAGGTTCATCAACAAGAAATTGCGCTTAAGAATAGGCATCTATCAAAATTGGCATATTGGAAAAGAAAGTTTAATTTTCCTGATGTTGCCGAGGTCCACGGAATCTGCTCCTCCCAACGTCCTAAATTTGTCTTCAACAAAGCTGTCTGATAGAGAGGAGAGGATCTTAGCGTTAGGTCTTCAATTCATCCCCCCAGCTAAACCGGACATTCCTAGAATAATTGCCGGAATCGAAGGCGTCACAAGCTCACTTAATCATCTTGAAACTCTTAAAGTACGAAACGCCGTAGTTCAAATTCTCAGCAGACCTTCACAGATATCACCTTCCAGCAATAGACATCGCGCGATCATTAAGAAGTTGCAAAGTTACAAGTCTCTCATTTTCATTAAAGCGGACAAAGGAAGCCACACTGTCGTACTTGACCGCTCAGATTATCTTTCTAAGATGATGGACATTCTCCAGGACAACACTACCTTTTCTTCCATTTCACCCCAGGAAAATCTTGCGTTGACCAAATCGTTCAGAAAGGCGCTCGGCGAAATGAAAAAATCCAGCATCATCACACCTGATCAATTTTCTCAATTTACATCTTGCCTGGATAGGGAAGCTTATATTTATGGCTTGCCTAAGGTACACAAGCCGGGGGGTCCCACTCAGGCCCATAATAGCTTATCATCTTTCTCCAGCCTACTCTGTAGCCAAGTTTTTGGTAAGTTTTTTGTCCCCTCTCATGAAAGACAATCCTAACACATATAGCATCACGCATCCCCCCAGTTTCATAGAAGACCTCCTTGATTTACAACCTCCACCCCTACACAGTATGGTGTCTTTTGATGTCACGTCCTTATACCTCTCACTTCCACACTCTCTCATTGCTGACAAATTGCAATCGTTCCTTATTACCAATAACATTGACACACAAACGGCTTCCCATATCCTGCAACTGGCTTCTCTCTGCCTCTCGATTTGCACTTTCACCTTCAACAAGCAGTTTTATAAACAGACCAGAGGAACCCCTATGGGTAGTCCCCTATCGTCAATCATCTCTGAAATAGTCATGGGTTCTTTGGACACATGGATCAATCAAGCCCTCCCTTCCGATATATACTATTGGAGGAGATATGTAGACGATATCTTTTGCATTATCAAAACAGACAGCCTTCAACTCACATACAGTACCTTGCACAATTTCAACCCCCACATTAAGTTTACATATGAAACAGAAATAGACTTTGTTTTACCTTTCCTAGACATCCTTATTATTCGCACCCCTCAGTCTTTTCACACCTCTGTTTTCCATAAGAAGCACATCCCTCCCCAATATACGCATTTCTCCTCCAATAGTCCCATCTCCTTTAAAATTAATACAGTCAGGACCTTAACTAAAAGAATTTTTACCCATTGTTCCTTACCCGTTTTTAAAACAATAGAAAGAACTAGAATCCATTCCTTATTAACAACCGCTGGTTATCCCATAGATTTTATAGAAAAACATACTTTTGATCCATGTGTCCACAGAACCACTACAATTCATAGGGCCACATGTTGGCTCCCGTTCTCCCCTGCCGCAGTATCCATATCCAGAGTCCTACGCCCATACGGCATAAAAGTTCTCTACAATAGTCCCCCCAACTTAGCCACCATCCTTAGACATCACATCACCAAATCTGATAAACCCACCCTACCCATAAACTCTACCGGCGCAGTTTATTCCGTACAGTGCCTGAATTGCCCAACTTCTTATGTTGGGGAAACAGGCAGAACCACTGGCATCCGTATTTCAGAACACAGACGCAACATACGCAATAAATATCCTAAATCCTTAATTTTTACACATATAGCACAAACAGGCCATAGTTTTGATCTCGACCATCCTCAAGTTAAATACCGGCACATACATAACAAACATCACCGACTCTGCCAAGAATCTATTATTTCCACACAAAACAATAGTTGTAACCGCAGAATAGACCTCCCAGACATTTACCAGATACTCTATAAATAGCTTGTCTTTCACCCCCCCCCCCCCTCTTATATCTCAAAGATAGTGGTAGCACTGGGTGGGACCCTCCCTTTCCCCTGCCTTGGTCTTGTTTATTTTAACTTCCATATACTGTTTTATTCTATGTTCTGTTGGTGTAGGGATGTCGCCGTTTTAATAATATTTTTTTACCTTAGTTTTTAGTCTCATTCAAGTTTATTGCTTATTTTTTTAGTCGTCACGTTTGTATTATGCAAATTTCATTTTAAATATTTATGTTGTATTCTCTTTTTACGCTATTATCTCTTCAGTATGTAAATTTATTGGTGTATATATTAGTTCTTCTCCTCTAATAGCATGTTAGTACGTTTTTACTATCCACGTTCGTTGAAGAACGTTTTGTTCGAAAGCTTGCGGTAATAAAGAAATTTACACAAGAAGCTCCTCTTAATGTTTATTATTGTTTTAATGAGTTGAATGAATTGCTGAATTTTTTTTTGTATTTATATATAAATAAAATTAACTCTGTTGAATTTTTTTTGTATTTTATCGATAACAGCAAAGTTATGTATTTTAAAGTTAGGAAAAATATTTTGATGTTAAGCAAAACCTGCTCCATCTCGTTTTACATAAATGTTGAAAATTTGGTCGAAATTGATGCATTGTAACGAAAGTTTTTAGCGAACACCACTTATGAAATTTCCATTTATATAGAAGATATAATATAAATGAGTTTTAAAAATTGTTAAAAAAAAATGCATCGGCCGGGAATCGACCCTGGCCGCCCGCGTGGCAGGCGAGCATTCTACCACTGAACCACCGATGCTTTAAAAAAATCAAATTCATTTATCGTCGCGACCAGTGCTGCGCCCTAGCGGTAAAAGACTGGAACTAACGCTTTTTGGTTTTTTATTTTAAAAAAAAAGCACATTAACTTTTTTAGTTTTTTGAATAGCCTATATGTTAAACGAAATCTTCAGCTACCTACATGCGAAATTCCATAATGATTGAGTCAGTAGATTTTGCGTGATGCGATAACAAACATCGATTTCGCATTTCATTTTATATATATAAAGGATAAGGAAGGATATATTTTGAAAATAGAGCAATATATATATATATATATTTTGAAAATAGAGCAATCCATAGATAAATCTTTAATTAAAAAGGCATATATTGGATCAAAAAATATTTAATTTAAATAATTTAAATATTTTTTTGATCCAATATAGGCCTTTTTAATTAAATATATATATATATAAAGAAGAAAGACGTTTTTGCTTCTCCTCCATCCAAGAAGACCAGTAAACTCTACCAGCCTCCATCAACTCAGGGTAGGCGTACCATGGCCCAGAAGTAGATGGAGTTCTCTTGATGAATGAGAATACGTTTTCTGCCATCCCAGTGTCTGGGCTTGTAGAGAGATCTCCGGGCATTCATTTTCAATGGGAAGATGAACAAGCTTCTAGCCCAGTTAATCCTTGCCAATTTTGTCCAGTTCGATATTCGCTCTGACAAGGAAAACAAACAGTATCTTCTACTAGAAGCTCTCGGTCGCCGGAAATATTTCTTGGCAACCCAAATGAACTGAGTTTTGAATGTGCTCGGCATCGTTATCTCTTTACATGATAACTCATACGCTGCGTCTGTCGGAGAATTCTCAGATAGGTGCTCCTGCTCTGGCGCTCAAGGCGTGATACGCTTCCGAAGGTCTCTTGTCAATTTTTACTGCAGGAAAAAAGCAAGCTGCAGCTATAGAGGGGAGTATGCATTGAAGACCATGATACTTCGATGATCAACGACGCCCCTTGCTCGCATCAACAGCAGAGCGCGCGGGTGTTAGAATCGGAGTGACTGCAAATTCATTCCGTCGAAGAACCAATGACGCACTGGGGTCTCATCGTGTATTTCCCCCGCTTCATCTCTTGGGAAGACCTGGGTCCAACGCTGCCTCTAAAAGGGCACATGGTCTACTTCTATTCTGCCTCTAGTCGTGCTACTTGCGCCGAGCTTGAGGAGTTGCCGAGCCTCTTGACCCTTGTTTTGGGAGCTGTTCGTCTCCTGCGAGTTTCTCATGGATCTGCAACCCTGCCTCTTCGGCGGCCACCTCGAGGCAATGAAGTCTACAACAATCGTGAAGGAAATCATCTTGGGCTTGAGCATGGCAATACCATTCACTTTTAGAACGACCTGTCCACTCTGTGGGAAATAATTCTAGCATTTACCGTTGACTACGTCTTTCCTGAAAACCAATAGAGAGCCATGTAAGTATTTTTTATCGATGTATTTCTATACTTATATAGATATTCAAGAAGATATCTCGGTCATATGAAGATATTTATTTGCCTTTAATATTGATGATTTTCTCTAAAATGCTTTATTTGGCAGAAACATTTTGGAAAGGTGGGAAATCGATAAACACTGAATAGAAACATCTATGGTGTGAGGAAGATTATTTTCAACGCAGTTCCAGCAGACAATAGTATAATACGTAGCTTGAATCATACACATGTCTACTATGAGTTTCTCCATAACAGAAGGTAAAAACATGGTACACTACAACTTCATCGTTGGGTCCAATTTCTCGAAGAAGAAATGCTCGCGTAGAGCGAAGTCTGTTCTATGAACATTTTTAAAGCCTAAAGGTGAGAAGGGCTCAAAGATACCTTTCACTTTCTGGAGGAGACTCTTAATAATTATCTTGAAGTATGCCGATTTGTGTTGGTTCATTCTTTCTGATAAAGATTTGCTGGTATATAGATTACTTGGCAGGATTTACATGGTGTTTTATATAAAAAAAAGAAGGTATTTCCTGACCACAAGCACATGTAATTTTTAGATGGCAGAGCGCCATCTAGTGGAGCAAATTTCGTGGATAGCTTTTCTTGATTTATCAAGAAATTGGGTTGGCCAAATATGACGGAGCAAGCTAAATAAACGTTCAGTTTATTTTTGCTCCACTAGATGGCGCTCTGCCATTTAAAAAGCACATGTGCTTGTGGTCAGGAAATGCCTTCTTTATTTTTAATATCATCACCTGACCCACTTATCTTTTATTTTTTTTCTATTATTTTTTCATGGGGTTTTATAAATTACGTTGGTTTTATCTTCTGACTTATAAATTTGTTTTGTGTCGGAGTGACGGAAGATGCATCAAAGCACCATAGTCCGACACCACTACTCATAGATCACGTCTTTAACAATAGTCGCACCTCAGACTTCGATCACACATACATAATATACCAAAATAGAAAGCTAAAGCTCATTAGAAATTATGAATAGCATTTTATAATACTAGTGGACATGACATCTGCCTGGTAAGGGGAACACTGTGGGTTCGATTACCATCCCTGGACACTTTATTTTTCCGTTTATCATTACTCTTCACAATTCATCCTTTCATACTTCATCCCTAAGACTAGAAATAATCGTTTTTTCTCCTTGAAATAAAATTTCGATTTTTTCATTCAAAAGAAACACATGCGGGATAATTTTCAAATGTCATTCTATAAATAGTATTAATAGAAAAATCGACCTAGCAGATGTATGTACTCAATTTAGAACCTCTCAGATGCTTATGTTATTTATATATTTACTAGCGGACGTACCCGGCTTCGCCCGAGGTTTTACCCGAGTAAAGGTTTGTCTAACGAACATTTGTTAAAACAATTCTCTATAAACTTGAAAAAAAAAAGATATATTTTGATAATTTGAAACTCGGAAATTTGAATCTCTCGATAAAGTGAACATTTTTTCCCGGTCCCTGTGTGCCGTGTCATCCTGAATTTTGTCTTTCATAATTTTCTACATTACAAAATCATCGTTTTATCTAGTGAACATATTTTCCCGGTCCCTTGAAAAATACTCGATAAGTTGAATAAAATCATGGTCATGAATCTCTCGATAAAGTGATTATTTTTTCCCGGTCCCTGTGTGCCGTGTCATCCTGAATTTTGTCTTTCATAAATTTCTACATTACAAAATCATCGTTTTATCTAGTGAACATATTTTCCCGGTCCCTTGAAAAATACTCGATAAGTTGAATAAAATCATGGTCGTGAATCTCTCGATAAAGTGATTATTTTTTCCCGGTCCCTGTGTGCCATGTCATCCTGAATTTTGTCTTTCCTAATTTTGTACATTACAAAATCATCGTTTTATCTAGTGAACATTTTTTCCCGGTCCCTTGAAAAATACTCGATAAGGTTGAATAAATTCATGGTCGTTTATGGAAGATGGACGAAGTTCCCGGAGGTCATCTTGGGCAAGCTCCCGCGAGGCTTTTTTTCTTGTCTACTTGGCATAGCTGTGTTGCCAACTCTGCCCTGATTGGTCGGTGGGTACTTTGACTGTCGGCCGGCGGCTGGGCGAATCCATTCTCGCACGGGGTCTGCCCCACTCCAAACTTTTGGCAAAGCACTTTCTAATTAAAGATTATTGTCTTAAATAATCTTTAAGAACAAAAAGTATAATAATTGAACGATAGGAAATTATAGTAAATAATTATACTAAACTAAATGATGTAAAAATAATTATACATGAAATTTGATATAAGTTTTAGAAAAGTTATCGTTAAGTCCACGGGAAAAGATGTAGCCAAAACAAATAGGTTTTTAACAGTGACACGTGAGCACCCGCCTCGAGACGCGCTCCTCTCTCCTAACATTACTCCCCCTCTTGAAAAAGCCTATCTCCGTCTCAATGGTGGCGCTGCTTGCGAGTTAAAGCTACAAATCTGCAAATAACTCTAAGGATATTAAAGATATTCAAGATATTATTTTTCGTAAACCTTTCCGGGGATATGCCTAATAATATCCCGAAATTTCACGGCGATTGGATGTATGGTTTTCGAATCCATAGAGGACACACACACACACAGACAGACAGACACACAGACATTCAATTTTATATATATAGATTTTTAATTTTAAATATTTATTATTATTATTTATGTATTTATTTACCCAGAGTTACTTATTTTGTTATTGTTGATGGTTTTATTCATTTGTTATTTATTTAATTGGAAATATCTTAATTATTGATATATATTTATCATTTCTTGGTTTTTCAAGAAGCCACTGGGACCAAAAAATGCCAACAGCCCGACACGCGTTCGTGGATGGCTTTTCTTGATTTATCAAGAAATTTAATTGGCCAAATATCAGGGAACAGGCTAAATCAATGTTTAGTTGATTTCTGTTCCACCAGATGGCGCTCTGCCTTCTGTAAAGAACATGTGCTCCTGGTCAGGATATGCCATTTTAATATATTTATATATCACACTGTGTCTTGCTTTTGATCATACTTACTGTTATATCCCCGATGGCATGTAGGAATAAGGAAAGGCAAGTAGGTGACAAAAGATGATAACTCTTTATTTGGTCTGACTTATATACATGTGAAGATGATGATAAATAAACAAATAACAAGTCACTGACAAAAATACTCTGTTGTCAATACACAATACTTTTTTTTTCGCTTATTCCTAGTACACGTGGTACAGGCCATGATAATTATGGTGGGTAGTTGGCGACTGCTTTTTACTGTAAGTGCACCACATGTCTACACATGTGAAAAGCAGTTAGACTTTGCACTTATAAATATGCCAGAGCCGCGTTTGGGTACTTGCACTCGCTGGTGGGGTTGGACTTTTGCAAGAATCGGGGGCCATTGGAGCATTTTCTTTTAAACATAAAAAAGTGCCCAATGCGGGAATCGAACCCGGGTCGTACCAGTCAAAAAACAACGGTTTAGACCATCCTTCCACCGACCCCCATATACCCCCAATACTTACTTTGTTAGAATGTATATCATAAATGTTTTTTT